TGATCTTGGGAATTTCACTCATGCGATAAACTACTGCAAGATTCCACGAGAAAGAACGTGCAAATAGGCGAGATTCAGGACTACTGAAACTGTGAAACACGATAGATTCTTGTCATATTTACTTTTGCCTCGTCTCCGCACACGCTAAACTCACAAATGAGAACTATCTGTCACCGTCAGAAGATCACTATCGTTCTTCACTTCAATCCTGTCACAAAAAACTATCTCCAGCTCTTGTGCATTCTTATAGCTCCTAACTCTGAAGTTCGTTCAATTCTATGACTGTCACTTCGTGACAAAGTCTCTCAACAATTTGCAAACAACAATCACAAAGTTCTCAATACAGAAACTCAAAACACGGTCAATGTAACAATCTCCCGAAAGCAAAAACACAACCACAAACACCGTGAAAAACACTCGTGAGATTAAATAACATCGTCCATCAATAAAATTGTCACTTTTTCACATTTTTTGGTTTTCTGCAATGATTTTCTATAATTGTGAAAAACCGGTTTTGTCCGAAACTCCAAGTCGAATCTTACCTCCGATACGTAAAATCTAAGAATCATAAGAGACAGATATAACGTAATTCACTCTCGGAAAAGGAGTACTACCTGCACCAGACTCACCTCATGTATAGCAAAAACTGGATATTTAACCTGTAGACTATAGTCCTAGCTAAATGTAGTTTCATGTACTAGCTAAATATAGTTAGGACATGAAGTTATACTTTAACATGAATTAACCTCAACACAAATCAATAATTTATGATGGTGAAAAAAAACAATTTTTCATGTATATGAAAGTTGATATAAAAATGTATTAGTCCATAGTGCTAGAATACTCTCTTGAACCTTTTGTAGCAATCAATTTATTTTTGAATTTTTATTTCAATGTATCAATTTTGGCTTAATATTATTTTATTTTTTTGTAAAATAAAATCATTCTTTACATATATTTATTTAAAAAATTCAATTATTTATTTTTATTAAGAAAAATATATAGATTTGAGTTTTTACATTTTGTCAACATATTTTGACGGTTGTATCCATCAATTTTAAAATTCATATTCAAAATCTGTTTCTAAAAGGATTTATTGAGAAGAAATATCTATTTCAAAAGTTATAGCTACAGTATTATCTTTTATCCTTTGTTTAATCTTGGGTTTGTAACTTTGTATAAAATTATGACTTTCAATTTGCACTCAAAATCAATCTAATCAAGTGAAATTTTTACGTAACATAAATATTGTATTGTAAATTTTTTGACATTTAAATCAGATTTTTAAAGGTAATGTACATTAATTTTGATTTAAAAATTTAATTTGTCATTTTTTACAATTATATTAATGAAGTTCAAATTTTAGTCTCCATTTGAGTTAAAAATTCAAATTCTGAAATAAAATTTAATTAATTTATCCCAGATTAGAGTTATTATAAGATTTAAGTAGTCTTATGATAAATAAAAGGACTAACCACAGCTTGTAGTGAATAATTTGCAGGTTTTTTCAATAAAGATATTCTTGTTTCCATAAAAGTAGTAGAGAATATTGAATCACGTAACTTCTTATGTATGTTGTTTTTCTGATATAATTAATGAATTTTTTTTATTTCCTATAACAATTGGTATCAAAACTACAAAATCTAAGTCACTAGATTTAGATAAAGCTCACAAGATTGAACAAAATGATGTTTTCAAATAGACTTTGTCAAAATAGAAGGTATAGAAAAACCATTGCGGTATCTAGTTCGGGAATCAAGTAGCAAGCGTCTTGGAAAGTAAAAGTTGATTAGAGTTTTCATTTCAAAAATCTTAAATAGATATGAAGCAGTAGATTTTTTTTATCAAAATCTACTTATTGTGGGTTGAAATGCGTACCGTAGTGTTGAGATATAATGTACAACCACACTCACTGCAGTTTTCATTCATCTTGTATGAAGCCTTATGTTGTTCAATCATCTTGTACATTCTCAAAAGAAGTCTATATTGTTAATACACCCGAAGGTATTATGGATGACTATACATGTGAGGTTTTAAACACAATGTACTCATACGCTGAATGTAGCAAAATTTTGATACTCGTGGCAAGTTCCGGACATGAATATGTGTGCAAAGTATTAGGAGGGACTATCGCGTCGAGAAATTGAGCACAATGTCATCATACGCTAACTGCAGTAGTAATTTGATATTCATGGCAATGTTTCAAATATTAATTTGTGTATTCGTATGAGTGAATTCTCTTATGATCATACATGGAGTACGATGCAAAAAATAAATGTTGCATCATCAATCCCCATTATGGAAACCCAATCAGGTCCAGGAGTATAATCTTATCATGATACTCAATGTCATTCTGCGCAACAAATCTATTTCAACTTCTTGATGAAGCCACATTCTTCATGTTTGCCACATGAGAGAGACAAGAAGTGCAAAGATGAATGAAAAAAACTAATTCGCTCATTGTTCATACAAAACCTTGTCTAAAATGCAAAAAGTTTGTTGAAACCAACAATGTTGCAATGTGATTGGTTGCAACCAATCACATTGCAATTGCAGTTCAGCCTCAGTTGGCTTTATGGATCCGCAGCATGTCAAGAGCACAATTGTAACATGACACAATTGCGAACTCCAAAAGGATGAGAAGAAAAAGGAAACAGCAAGAGCGTAGGAGGATTTCAATATTTGAAGGTATGTAAACGATCTGATTTGCAATGAAAAAAGTAAGATGGATTCTCTTTAAGTTTGATGAGAATAAAGAGAGTTTGTGCAACAAAAGATTGTTGTGTTCCAAGCTAGTGAATCTCTAGTCAAAGTTTACAGCTGACATACAAATGAGTTGCAAAGACTTTTTAGAGCAAAGAGTTTATTATCTTTCTTGTTTGCTTTTGTTTTCTTCATGTTTTCATAAATGATTTTTTCAATAATGATAGCTCAAAAAAAGCCAAATGAGCTAAACAAAAAAATTTTAAAGAAGATTTTTAAAGATATTATTTTAAATTTTATCTTGTTAATTTTTGATAAAAATTAAAGATTCATCAACAATATCATTATTTTTATTTGATACAATCTTCATTCAATTCTATAATCCATATTTTTTTAAAATTCTCTTTAATATTTTTTATATAATAAAAAATAGATATCCTAGGTTGGTAAAAAAAATACCAAGCTTGGGAGCTTTAACAACTTTAAATTTAAATAAATCGCATTACATCACACTTACATATTCAACTGAAGCAAGTTTGCCATCAAATTAAAATTTTGTCTATGATTAGAAAACAAGGCGATTATTCAATAATACTTTTTGATTCTATGTCTGATTTGAAAATGCTTGATTGATCATCAAATCGATGATAGATCCAAAAAAAAATCAATTTATTCATATGAACCAAGATATTTTTTGTTATGATTCTCTTTTGATATTATTGCAATCATCAAAACGCTGGTATTAAATATTGAGGTATTCAGGGATAAAATTTACAAATGTAATCTATTTTTATTTCACATTTTTTCATATTTTTCATTTTTCTTAAATCATTCAATCTTGAACTTGAATAAAGTGATTACAAACTTGAATGAAAAATATATGCCGATCAAATTAGATAATAAGGTAAAGATCAATTGAATTGAACATATTTTCATAATAATTTATTTTTTCTATTTAAATCAAATTTTTGCGTGAATGATATTATAAACTAAGTTTAGAATTTCTCATATTTTAAATTATTTCACTCATGTGAATTTATCAGTCCAATATCACCAAAGACCAAGAGATAATATTTTTATCTAAACAGGAAATTGTGTTAAAAACACTAAATTATCATCAAAGAATAATCTGATTTGAAATTGTTAAAGAATAAAAATAAAGAAGTTAAACTGATTAGTCTAAACTTTAGTTTGAATAACAGTTTTGTAATTTTATATATATACATATATGCTCATCATATTTTGACTGTGATAAAGTCTACAGAGTAATTAAAGTAGATGTATTAACCCGGCCACATTAACTGAATCCAACCTTTGACTCACAAGGACCTATGTTTCATCATGACAACAATACAAGGTGAGTAGATATATAGCAGAAAGATCGAACTATGGATATTGTTTAGGTCTTTGCATACATTCACCGATTAAGATTATGAATAGATTTGTTGGAGTATGATCTAAAATAGCTATTATGTCTTCGTTAGGATAATATTTTGGATTTATTTAGCATCTTCTAGTATCAACTTTGTTATTATCCTTAAGCTGCTTTCCATGGTTTGAAAATTATCATTTTAGCTTTTATTTTTCAAACATGTTATCTGACTCATGATTTTACTAAATTTTTCTCATTAAATAATGATGAGTCTAGATAAACATGAGACATCACAACTATTACTCTGAGGAAAGTCAAATTATGATGTAAGGATCTAGAGTCTGTTCACCACAATTTGGTTACAAATGTAAGTAGAATTTTCAGTTTTTCCCCTTCAAATTTGAAATCATTAGCGAGTGCAGACATTAAATCAAACTTGTACATGTAATGTGTTCATAGTACAAGTTAAAATGTGACGTAGAATATGAATCTCTCTGACATATTGTACAGAGTTTTAAACTATTGCGTGCATACATCCATACTTTTGGTGTTATCTCCAATGCAACAAAGTACTCAGCTCTTTCATTAATTTACTTTGTTCTTACCTGGGGGACCATTCGGTGCTTAATGTGCAATGGCTTCATTTACTTGGTGTCCATAGAACCATTCTGCTGGTCTCTTATAGAAACCTGTAGCTAACGATTCAACTTACAATTGGCTCTATCTACAGCCTTAGTCAGAATTCAATATTATCGATCTGGTGCTTTGTCATACTGTTCCCTGACACTTGATTCAAAATTCAATCGTAATTCAAACAGAATTCAAAAGCCTCATCACACAAAGGCAGAAGTACAGGCATAAATAGACATGTTTGAGGAGCATTACAGAAGAAGAGAGATAATCCTCACATAGCCACTACGTGGCCTTGCGTCGTTGGGCAATAAGGGCTATTGATTCAATCTCTCCATGTCTTCGTATATTGGGATGTCCATAAAAAAATAAAATCACGAAAGACGACAGAGGAAGGTGCTCGCCAATAATGATCCTTTCTGTAAAATAGCACAGGGCTTCGTAGAAAACCAGGCATGCTTGGGCGTGTGAATCATAAATCATCTAAGTCTAGTGTGTGCTTATCAAGTTTGAAAACATTTGCGAAAGATTCAATAAGTTGCTCAGTGACCACATCCTCCCCAGGAATAGGAACATAACTCTCTTTTCTAAGTGAGGTCACTTCCTTGTCTGATATACCGCAGGGTACAATGTGGGTGAAGAACTCCAAGTCGGGATCGATGTTGAAGGCAAGACCATGCGAAGTTATGCTCCCAGAGGAAATTTTCACTCCAATGGCGCCTAGTTTACGGTCTTCAACCCAAATACCCGTCCGTTTCTTGAATCTGCCTAAAGCTTGGACACCATACAACGCTGCTGTATTTATCATACTATCCTCTAAACCTTCTACGTACTTTCGTGCCCCCAAGTTCATCTGATTGAGTGCGAGAATAGGGTACAGGATCGCTTGGCGTGGCCCATGAAAAGTTATGTCACCACCCCTATCAGATTCATGAACTTCAACGCCCAAACCAGCAAGGACATCAGGAGTGGCAAGCAAGTTGTGCATTGTTTTCCGCTTGCCAACGGTGAAGGTGGGTGGATGCTGTAGAGAGAGCAGGGTGTTGCCAATCAGTCCTGCTCTGCGTCTGTCGACCAGCAAGCGCTGCAGTTCACTCGCCTGTGCATAGCCTACAATTCCCATTCGTATCACATTCAGTCGTCTGCTTGCCATGACTGATAACAAAAACTCCCTCCAAAATATGGGATGTCCAGATTTCTGTGCGACCAGATCTTCTGGGCCCTGCCAAAATAACAATCTCGTTGGATACAAATCCCAAAAAAACCTTCAGACATTCAGTTCATACTGGACTGACTCCAACACAAAGCATAAACAAAAAGGCTGCATCTTACAGACAAATGATATATTCCAGTTCACAACTCCACGAATATAACTGAATAATCCAAAACAGGGCAGAAGAAAGTCTGCTCGGATTTATGTGCTGTGCTGGAAAGGGTCTTCAACACAGAATATAATTGCATTTGAAGATAAAAGCGTGGGTAAAACACACGAAGCTGTAATATCAGACTTCCAGAAAAAAATATCCATTCCTTCGTCATGCTTTCAGCTGACACATCTCTAGAGGTAGACAGCTGTAAACGATAACCGATTATGAAACAAGATGCAGCCTTGAAGACATACCCTATTCCTTCACTTTCATCTTGAGACTTGACCATCCGACTCATTTTCATCAGTTAAGGAAACAACAAACATCGTGATTGTGAAATGCACTGATAGCGGTACTTCTTGTGACAGGTGATGTACATATTCTATGATTGATTGGTACCTATGAAGCAAGTAGAAGGAATGGTCGATTCCAAGGTCAAATCACTCTACTTCAAAAAGTTTAAAAGGAGGATGAAGAACACAACCCCGAGTGAGGATAATTCCTCGTTCTTTGTTGCAACACATGCTTTACATGACTAAAGTGGCAAATTCTTGGACCATTGCATCAAGATGTAACATATGAGACAAGCTAAATTACCCATGAAGAAAGTTATAAGCTCTTAAAACATGAGTTGGCAGCGAAAGAGCAGTCTCATCTGCTCATTATAGACAGCAACCTTGTGTAAGAGACAATACAATCGTTCATGCACAAAGAACTAACAAGAAATTGACAATCATCGATCACAAGGATCATAAATCATAAATCACAAGGAGAACAAATAAAGAAGTAGTTTCTCCACAGCAATATTGTGAAAAAGTTAACGCCGAGAAGACAACCATAGAAATTATCAAATTTTCGATCCTGTGCTTCTAGGACCAGTTTCAGAAATGCGAGTGAGTGTTACAAATCAAACCACAATGTCCCTCACAGCGTGGTGCACACCCTCCTCACAAGACGAGTTGAAAAGGATTCGGCAGAAAAATGTGTAAGATTCGACGCTTATTCCGAACGGCATGAGAGAGGCTGTGACTCGAAAAGATAACCCCACTCCAGCTAAGGTGAGTATGTGATGCGAACGGAAAAATTGCAGAGAATCATCTGGCCTCCACCGGAAAGAAAAATGTACGTTCTCGAGAACATAAAAACGCACCTTCTATTGCAGAGTGTTCAGCCCTAGCTCATTCCATTTATCCTGGTTTGCTTGCTGATCTTGATTCGCTTCGTCAATTTCATCAGCCAGCGGACAGAAGCCTGGCGGAAATGGAATGTCATCATTCGGCAGCTTGTCTTGCGCCCACTCGTCATCAACAATGTCCAAGAGCAGACCCGGGAAAATTCCAGGAAATAATTCTGCCATCGTGGTCGGTTCAATGCAAAGGAGTGAGTTCAATATTGTCACCTTATCAGAAACGCGAGGCACTCGTTACACCACAGCAGAAATCAAACCGAGACTCCTCGTCCCTTGCAGGAGAACACGGGGCCCTTCCTTTCCCAGTCTCCCAGATCCAAACCCCCGCGCGAAGGCCTCCGTCGCCGCGCTGTGACTCTAGGCCCGTGGCGGTGTAAATTTCTTTATATGAATTTTTAAATTCCACATTTTCTTATAAATTTAATTTTCGTCCTTCTTGATGGGAATGGACACAACAGTCTTGTGCCTATTCTCATCAAGGTCAAAATCTCCGACATACGTCTTGTCACATAACGGATGTCGGAGATTTTGACCTTGCAGTTAGTGGTTGATTAGTCGATTTGAGAAATAGCAAATTGTATTGTCATCCATATGATGGATACATTTTGTCTAACATGAAGGTGAATGTACACTTCTCTTGGTGTTTCAATTTTAGTTCCACTTGAATCTAAATTTCAACATCATGGAATATTGTACAAGAATATATATATGCCATTTTAACCTATTTTTTATTTGAAGTGAATTCAGTTAAATTAGTCGTATGGGTTTGGTTCTTTTTTCTTTGAAGCTTTGCTTTGATACTTTGCTAACTAGTCCTTGATACTGAAAAAATATTCAAAAAAATTTTCAATGTAGCATACGATATAGGACAAGCAAAATACAAAATTCATATTACAATGTGTTTAACTTAATTGTGTTCAACGATCTCATCTGATGAGATATTTAATATTTTTTTATTCATATGGTAAAAATCAAGATTTCAAGAAATATGAATACTAGAATTGTCAGCAAGATCACAAATGCAACCACATGAAAAAATTCCCCAAAAAAAAGGCTTAGGATTTAGGTTATAAATCCCGAAATCATCTTACATCATTATCATTATCAACAATGCTGCCGTCGACATGGTGTTTTGTAAAAAATATGTATTTTCTGTTTATATACAGTCTCTGAAAGTAATTTCTTCCTTTCTGATGTTGTTGTAGTATCAGCCAAAAATGTAAATACTGCTTCGTGTTGTTTTTTATGTTGATCTTGCAGACTTCAACGTTTGTTGTCGTTGACGCTGGTATAGTGATCTTTGATGATGTTTTTCTTAGAAGCGGCTTCCCAAAAAACAAAATTGGGGTTTGTTACAACCGCAACAATAATGTCTTGATCCAACAACTCATAAAAATAAGTTTTATCCTTTGTCATTCTTATGTGCTATTCCAAATGTATTATCTTATGCTTTGTCTAACTCTCTCAAAACTTTTTGCGGCTTTTGGCACCAGAGCCAAAAACTGAGAGCTACAACCAGCTCATTTATACAATATCATGCTTACCAGTCTAACAAATAAGAGATATATAAACTAGAACTGAGTTAAATCCCAACAGTGTAGCTCTTGATATTTTCTCAAAATGTTCTTTTGTTAAGTTCTTCGTACAACATATGACATCTTATGTATCTGAGAATTCTTAGTTCGATCCAAAAAAATTTCTCATGTTACCCATATATTTACATTGAATCATGATTTATCAGTAAACAGTACTGATAAATCAACAATCTCTATTTTAGTATGTCAAATGGAATATGTGAATACTATGTCCAATGTGTTCTCTTATCTTTTATGCACCGTTATATCTTCAACTACTTTGTTGTGACCCTTGAAAGGTTTTATGTACATAGCATGTATTTTATTTCTTTTAATTTTGTCTATTTGATATAGAATTAGACATCTTTATCATTATTTTGATACAGTAAGCCTGATTTCGATGAAGATATTAAATTTTACCATATTTGGACAACTTGAATTCTTTGTAATTCTGTTATCTTCTTGCTTTGAGATAGGAGATAATCTTATGTCCTTGTCATGTATGCAAGTGATATGAATAGAATTTTATATCCTGTGCAATTACTCTTACATCTTTGTAAAATCATTATAGTCTCTTGAAAACAATATAGAGCTCTCCACATGCTGGACTAGAGTTTTACTATCTATTCATTTTATCAGAGTTTACTTTCAGTCTTTGTGTAGCTGATCAATTATTATACTACAAAAGCTATTTTAAGTTCTTGCTTCGATAGATACTCTCGCATTTTGGCTTGACCATGCACTATTTTTTGATTTGCACAAAGATAAGATTTCTCTACGGCTTGGTTTACATTTAAACGCATTCGGAGTGATGAAGATCACCTATAAGTGTGATACTACTAGATTCAGTAGGATTTTACGTTACTCAATGAATAGTTAGAACGCAGGATACAACTATTCACGATTCTGCTGGGGATGTGGTATTTGCAAATGAATCCTGGTGACCAACATCTCTCATGAAGAGAGCCTTGGTTTGCAGTCAACGAAGGCTAAATCGGATCTATGTTTGGACGAAGAGTATCATGCAAGGGTTGTAGGACGTGATGGTTACAACATTTACCCATGACAAAGTTTTCTTTGAGAGGTGATTATCCATACTCCTTTCTGTGCAAAAATCGTGAACCCACTGGCCAATCTCTCAATGGTAAATGTTTTGAACTCTTTCTTATCCTAACCTTCTCCTAGCATTTTGTTAAGAGATTTACTCACTGAGATTACATGTGACGTCTCAGAAACTGTGATCCCAGGTCTTCTATCTATATCACAACTTGATGGATAGAGCTTGCACTACGAAAGTTGTAGATCTGCTGCACAGAATTTGCCCTCAGCAAGCAATCGACTGAATGCATGGAGGATTGGAAAGCTTTAGTGTACCGAGCCCGTGGACGGTTTAAAGACGTCACCCGTCGACTCGATGTGGGTGATCGATTCGGAATTCGTCCAAGAAAGACATTTCTCTACTTTGCTCGGTGATTGTTGTAAATCGTCACTTATGTTGAACAAGATTTGACACACAAGATGGAGATGGACAACCTTCATACTCAAATAACTTTAACATTTAGTTTTCGGTATTCAGACTTAACTTGCTCGGCACTTTGTCAAACAATCTATGAGCACACGCTTTTCAGATGCTTGCGTGTGAATGGATCTGGCATTAGGAGAACTACTCGACCCTAAAACCTCAGTCCAAAATACAAGGCAGTCATCTAATTCTCAGTCCTAATCCTGTATTCCAAGGCAGTGGCAAAAGTGGGATAAATCCGTCCATGAACTTAAAAAATGACTCTTCAGGTGGAAAATCTGTACACTCATGTTCTGCACTGATGGAGGCAATGATTACGGCGACTGCCAAGGGCGGTAGTACCTGCTTCATTATCTGTTGTTTCAATTAAAAGAAGAAACAACTTTTGTATATACACAGATGACATCTTCCTTCTATCCAGCAACTGTTCTGTGCTTCTCTTCAATAACATCTTACAGTTGCTTGCTACTGATTTGATGTAAACAACCTAAACTTCAGAGCTACTCCCTCTCCAACAATCGACACACTAAACCTCTTGTATTCACAGAAGTCCGTCCTAGAAATGCTAGACTAGGAGAAATTAACCAGATGAGAGATCTATCTCGCTGGTAAGGAACAAGGCAGGCCGCAACTGACTAGCAAAAAGTGATGAGAACACAGCTTTGCCGGTTCTCATGTTTTGGTACTAACACAGAGTTTCCGAAGATGAGGCTGACAGCGAAGGTTTGTGCACTTGAGGTAGTGCGCATGATTGAGAGAGCCAACGGGACGCTACCTTCTAGCTGGTTTGAACCTGTACAACGTGACACCAGCTTTCTCGTCTAGAAAACTTTTTAACAAATTTCGCACCAGACAGATCACCGAGGGCAGTCCCAGCACTGTACAAAGTTACTTTTCCTCCCTGATCCAGGTATATTTCAAGCTCTGTTTGAGCTCATCCCATCAACCTGAGTTCATCTTAGTCTGACCACAATGCAGAATAACTGTTAAAGTCCAGCCATGTTTTCTCTCGTACAAACTTGGGCACACACATGGTCTTTGCACACGATAATCACAATTTGTAAAAAATTCGGATGATAAACATGCGAAAGGTCTACACAGGCCCAAACAGGATAACCCGATGGGAATAGAAAACGACGATATGTTACATCTGGTAAAATGAGTCACTCTTTGTGTCACTATGTGATGACATAAAGCTAGATTCAGGAGTCTCTGCTGGACTACTTGGCGGGGACACAAGCCGAACCATATCATCCAATGCAGTGTCTAACATGCCATCCAAAGACGAGTCTAATGAGTTACTACATTCTGAGTATGATCCTGAGCTTTTCTCACCTCGGCCACCCTCAGGGTTTTCCCTTAAAGCCTTTAAAACCTCCGTAGACAGTCCCGAAATACTGCTCCCAAATGAACACTCCTCCTGAGCTGAAGTGTCCGAGGAAGCTGGTTTTAGCTCGAGATTAGACATGAGCTCTGTAACAGGCGCGACAGATGCTCCCTCATTTTCTTGGATCCCATCTTGAACACCTTCATCAGGATTTATTACGTACACCTCATTTCCTTTCTCCATATCGAAGATGAACCTTCCAAAACTGCCTTTCGTACTTTCCATACTAGTCTCCGTTCTCGAGTCATGACCCTCTTCAATTGTCGAGTTCCCCATCCTCATCATAGATGAATCCTCAACACTGTAAAAACTACACGTAGACTGTCTGCGGCTCTTGGGGCTATCTCGCCGATCAAGTTGAATATCATCTACTTGCATATTTTCAGCTTCCGGAGCTGAGGACTCAGCTCCCTGCTCCTTCAACCAGTCCCGGAAGTCAGATCTTCGAAAGTCTGGGGATGAAACATCTTGATCTGTATCAAACAGCTTTTGACGTATGTTTGATTCAGTGTATGTATGAAAAAGAAGTCGGTTAGCATCGGCAGACGCAAGTTGGAATCTTGGCTTGTTGGTCCATTTATTTGAGTCGCTTATGACCACATCCTTTTCTTCGCTTGATGACCCTTTCTTGTTACTTCTTGAAGCCCTTCTCTTCCCTCCAACAACTGGTTCCTTTCCTGACCCTGAACCAATGGGAAAGCCCCTTCTTGACTTCCGGTTCGAGGGTCCTGAAACACCTGGTCTATACACATATTGCTCTTGCACCTGTGAAGGTAGACCTCCTTCACTCTGAGGCCTATTTAGCTCTGCAGAGGCAACAGAGATTGTGCGGTCAAACAAGGTATCACCACTTTCTTTTGGCTTCTCTTCACTCCCAGTTGAAAACCTGTAAAACATGGAAAAATATCAAAAGCCATTCACGACTACTGGGGACAATGGTGGATGTAAGTTCACCATCAAAACGAATACAACAGTGAGGCGCGTATCTGAAGTTGCGCAATTATGGGGTTTCTCTCAACACATGTAGAAAGCTACATACCTTGCTTTCATATTTGACAACAGGTTCGACAGGTTGATGGGTACAAGTGAACCAGTTTCCATGCCGGGAGACAAGGACTCGGAACTACTTCCTTGTAATTTCTTTCGCAGGGCGTCCTTCTGTCATGTCAAAAGTCCATTTGTGAGACATACAAAACTAAAAGATTTCATTAAACCAGATTTCATAAGAGATACTACATATACAAACTTTTGAAAAGGCGCTAAGCCTTTTCATATTTCAAATAAGACACAATTAACTATTAAAAGCTGACAAGCTATTTGCTTCTTCAACAGAAGCAAATGACTTTTTTCATTACCTCCGATCTTGGAACGTAAGGAGAAGAGAGTTTGAAATTGGCAGAGAGGCGCGCAACCTCCTTAGATGTTTTCTTCGCTTGTTCCTCCTAAGAAACGAAATTTATACTGAATTTTTCAGACTCAGCGGCAAAGTAACATACAAGTTATGAAACTAAATAATCACCCCGAGAAATCATATGGGAGCGGCGTACTGAGCATACTGGACAGCTTCTACTGACAGAGAATAATACTCTAACCGAAAGTGCGTCACTTCACTCACCTGGAGACGAAGCGTTTTCGATAACTCCAAACCCATGGCGATCATGTGAGTGGCTTGTTCATGGGTTTCGGCGTCGCCACCAGCACTTTCGTCTTGCATGTTCTTGAATTTGGTCAACAGTTTCTCGACTCGATCCTTCAGCTCTCGAATTTTCACTTGGTGCTTCGCCAACTCTGCCATTTCCTCCTCAACACGCTGCTGCGTCGCTATCTGTTCCAACTTGTGACTCAACTCCTGGACCTACGAAAGAGTACAGAATATTTTTGAGATACATAAAACAGATTTTACGATATATCTAATTGCAATAGTTGTATAGATTCAGTAAAACACGCAGTACTTTGAGCTGGAAGGATGTTCGCAAATATCTACTACAACAAAACACTAGCATAAAACAGAAGAACTAGAATTCTGATTGCCGAGCCACACAGCTGAGCAGTTCTGAAGCTGTATGGACAAAATGGAAACACAAGGCCAAAGATATCAAGGAAATCTGTGTGTTTGTGGTTGAAGAGAAAAATAGAGCAAAAGAAAAGAATGCGAACACTTATGGGAGATTTAAGTACTTAGAGCGAGTAAGTGCAGGCGAAAAGGCTACGTAGTACCGCAACTTGAAAAAATCATGACAATGGAGCACTTAACGTTAATTTGTAAATATAGACCTAAGGTCAATAATACATTAATCCGATTTTTCCTTAAGACGTCTCTGTTCAAACACGAGGGAATACAAGGCCAGGTGAATTCCGAGCGTTGATCACCTGAGCGGCAGAGGTACCACCATTGGAAAATGAAAGAAGTCCCGAAAGCTTTTCCCAGTCCTGTTCGTCCACTTCAGACTTTTCCTCTCCACTCTCCTCCAGTTTCATCTGCAGATCATTAATGACGGCATTGTGCCTCTGTGTGCAAAGAGCCAGGAAAGGCAGTTCAGAAGATGCCCCAAGCTCTTGATGATAGTCTATTCCCCTTACAAAGCGAGATTGTAAACGTGCATGTTAACACTCAGTTGCATAGCATACTTCTACCTGTGCTGTGGAGTCTTCTCTGCTCAGACCGAGGTCAAGAAATTAAAAAAAAAAACTAGAAACTTGTGTCCTCAAACAAAACTCTCAAGACTTTGTAAGGACATTATAGCTCACCTGTAACTCATCCACCAGGCGGCTTGTCTCCATGCGTTTTTCCGCTATCTGAAAGTATGAAGGCAGCGATAGCTTAGCGATCAGAGGCGTGCAATATTGACAGGTAAGAGCTGAGGCATTTCGCAAATCCCGGTCGAAAAGCTTAAAATACATCCAATTCTCTTCAGAACTTTCCAACAAACCGAGACCATGTCAAAAACTCACTGTATTCATGTAAAATTACCTATGAACGGCAACAAGAACTACTTTTGGGTCCAAATGACTCTGTGTTAAATCTAGCTAGAATGCAACGAAGGTCAGACAGGAATTCCCACTCCTGACACACACCATTTGAGAATGCTCAGCAAGAGCTACAGAAAGACTTTCCACTTCTTCCTGCAACTTCAAGAACAGCTTGTGTCCCACGGCAGGATTGGCGATTTCAACATCGCTGTCTTCAGATGCGTCTCCGGGGCTTGAACTTTCATCCGTTTTCAACCAACCTTTTCCGCTGCTACATTTCGAGGGAGATTGATCGGAATTTTTTTCAAAGAGAACAGAGTTACTCCTCACAACGGTCCTGAAACGGAAACGTCATGAAGTGTGAGGAGACCTACATACACAACATGCCTTGAAGTGCACCCTTCATTAAAAATGCCTCCGTAGTACTCAGAACTTGTCACCCCAGGATAAATTGCACATTGAAACACTAGATGGCGGGCATAACAAGCAGCATCTCAGATACAGAAGTTAGCTCCTTTACCCTGCAGGGAACTTGGCGGTATCCGCCTTGCTGGTAACAGTTTCCTCTCTCTTGCCTTTCGAAGTCTGCTTGGAGTAAATACTACCGTGACCTCCTGACAAGCTTTGCCTGCCAATCAGTGAAGGTGTCTGATTCCCCTTTGACCAGTAAAAACAAGGATAAACATGTCAGAGGTTACCAATGGAATCAAGTCAAAAGCGTAGCAAATAAGAGATTCAAACAGGCACGCGAGAGAAAACAGGCGATCACAATGGGAACACACGCTTATTGGCTTGCTAAGAAAAGGAAAGTAAAGATGATAAAGGACAGGAGAAACACATCTCAGGACTCAAAACTTAGCCTTTCATAGGTCACAAGTTCCTTCCTACACGAAATGAGATATTATCACGCTTCGGCACTCAGTAATAGCTGCTGAGGACCGGTATACAAATCTGAATCGCTGCAACACTAACAAGAAAGACCTCTACAAGGAAACAAGAGGGTATCTTTCAGTGGGGTGTGCACCCATACACTACAGTGTTGATATGCTCACCTCCAATTTGCGCTTCATGACATCGACCGCATCAGCTTGATAATCTTGGTGAATTTCAAAAGCTTCTAATAAAAGGTCTTTCTCAAATACCTTTCTATTGGCTTCTTCTAACTCCTCCTCTAGTTGCTCTACTCTCTCCTTGAGAATTTCATGCTCCATCAACTTCTCATTTGCTATCCTTTCTAACTCTCGCTTCTGGTTTTGTTCTGACTTCAGCTCTTCTGTCAACCTCTTCACCTCCATAATCAACGCCTTCACATCTTGCTCGGACTCGTGATGGTCGGAAAGAAATACGTCAATGGTAGTTTCCGGATAATCATTGTCGTCCTCATTTGAGTCCACATCCGGCATGGGTGGTAGATCCCAATCCCCAGAACCAGGATCATGACCCCTCAAATAATCAGCTACAGCTTTTCTTAGTCTCTGAATTTCGCGTTCCGAGTCGAATAAGGTCCTAGTCGCAATGTCAAGCCGTCCTTCCAACTCTCTACAGTGAGCCTGATGAAGGCTAATGGTACGGTCCTGATCCTGTATCTGAGCTACCATATCGTGGATTGTCTCATCCCTACTCTTCAGCTGCTGCCGTAATCGGTGTACCATATCTCGTCTAGCTGAGTATCCTGACCTACTAACTGGGGACAGAGGCAAGTCGTTTCCTTCCGTTGCAGAAGTTTCTCTGTAGCTTCCTGGCGGCGAAGTTGGTGTGATGACAGTCCGGCCAGAGTGATTGGATCCTTTGGAAAATTGAGTATGCTGATAGTTGTACTCATATTGGCCAGGAGGGGAAGGGGGGTTACAATCAGGTGATGGTGGGATGCAATCATCGTCTCCCCACTCACTTCCGACTCTACTTCCATCGCTCTGAGACCGTGCCACATTGTGCGTTATCATGTAGGCGTCTCCTGGAACAAATATCATTGCAATGAGCCAAAATATGTATCTACAAATTGGTGAATAGCGAAACACCAAAACAAGAAACTTTACAAACAATGGGAAGAGCAAGCCAGACTGCAACTCTTGCTTCCTGACCGCTTACTACCGATTAAACTAATCAGAATGATAAGCCATTGGATACACGTAAGCTACCCTCACTGCAAGGTTCGGCAACGCGTACCAGAGAAGGGACTATCTGTTGATGGTTCGCTCGTTCGACTTCCCGTTGACTCTCGCCGGGTAGTAGCGAAAGATAGACCTGATTGTTGGACATGATCAGTGAGCAGCAAAGCGGCTGGTACGACAACGGAAAAACTCACACAGGTTCCACCAGTCCCGTTAACTTGTAAGGGATAATACAGGCGCCGTTGTGGAGATGGCAACTAAATTGCTGACCGCGAGTTCCGTCTCCATATTGTCACTAACATTGAAGTTCATCACTCAAAATGGCGTCTTATTGACTACTGACTCACTGCTGGACCTATGGCTCTCACCTTTTCCAGGGGTCGGAACTGCCTTCTCAATTATCTTCTCCTCACAAGAAGGGGGTCTTCGTTTCCTTACAATCATCACTCCAATAGCTGTGACAATAGCACCGCCGGCAAGAAGAACCCAATTAGGACCCTCTTTCCGAATGACATGATGGGCTACTGCGGTGGACTTTCCCTTTCGGCGGCCGGCAGCTTGCTGATTCGCGATTAGCGTCTTCACATTTGGGCCTCTCGGTTGACTTCCATCCACCGCTTGTCCAGGTGGCCTCGGAGGTTTCGTTGGTCTTGAATCAGAATAAGATTCATAGTCTCGAGCATTTTTCTGACAGAATTAACAAGATCAGCGGTAAGAAATAATTAAACGGGAATCCAATCCCTTGATGAGAGTAGTTGTGCGGCGCTGAATGTCACACTACTGATCCAGTAATTCCGAGACGTATATAAACCCTGGGTTAAGTAAGACAATTTAGAGTGCGTTCGTACAGAGACATCGCAATTTAAGTCGGTAATTCCCATGCCGGTGACAGGAACTCCTTGATCAACAAGAGATGATGGGGCGAAATTCAATCTAAGCCCTCGATGTAATCGGGAAAAACTGTGAAATTGGACTCCCCTGCGTTCTGTGACTTTCTAAGCGACAATCCCTCCACAGCCAACAATGACGAGGCTCACTTACTAAGGAAGACACAGAGAATAGACATGACAAATTTCAAACGTAAGAAACATCTAAAACTTGAAACTTCAAAGTGATGCGCTTCACATCTCGTATTAAACGCCTGAATGAAGACAAGAGAAAGGGAAAAGGGGAAACATAAGAAACCTGCGTTCGCAGATCATGCTCGTGAGGGGTGAAAGAGGTCCATCGCCCCCCTCCTTCCTCTCGCTCAGCTTCCATTGGGCCGGGCAACGGGACAGACTACTACTGCGTAGTCAGCCTTGTAAATTTGCCCGGTCAACTCAACTCACTCCTTTCACACCCAGTCGGCGGTCCTTATTTTCATTCTCTTTCTTCCTCCCTCCCCAGTGATACAGGCCAGAATTCTTCAGGCGAACTATCTCGCTTTCCTCTGAATCTTCATTCTTAACCTGCTTTACGATCCATGATGTCAAACGAATTCGACGGCATGATAACAAATATCAGGCATAAGGAACGCAACTCCTTCATCGTCCGATTTGAGTCTCTCGGACAGACCTCAAAACCGATTTTCTCCAACACTCGCAAGTGTAGGAGGATCTCGACAAGCTAGGCTGTTGGCGAAGGCGGATGGGAGAACACTAGTGCCGTGCAGACGACTTCCGCACCACAAATCCACAATCCCAGAGCTCGTCCACTCTAGATCCATTTCTCCTCTCCTCCTCCCCCGGGGCCAACATGGATTATTCCGGCGAGTCCTTCCCTTCTAACCATCACGGCATCTGCCCCTCCACTCCATCGGTCTCCCGGATCCACCCTCGCCACCACGAGAGGATTATTCCTCTGCTGCGCGCGCGGCTTACCTTCGGCCTAGCTTGACAATGACAAAAGACCGCCGCCCTGCATCCCCTTCTTGAATCTCCCGGACGCTCGCTCGCTCGCTCGCTCCGCGCTCCCGTAGCACTGCAGGCTCTTACCTCGATGCTCACTCACCAATCACCACATTCAACGTTCTCAGCATCAGCATCGGCCCTCGCTTCGCTAGCTGGTTGGGTTTGCTCCGCGCTGCGCTGCCCTCCTCGCCACACGCGCCAGGCGGGCGAGCGTGCGGACAAAATCGGCTCGTCCCGTCTCGGATTTCACCACAGGAGCACAGCGCTGCGCTAATCTATTTTTCGCCTCTTGCTCGCCTGCCAATCATCATTCCTCTCCTGTCCAACGAACGAACGAACGATAACACTCGTCTCCTGAATCTGCTGGTCCCCCAGACAGACAGACAGACAGGCAGACCGACTCATAGATCGGCCATTCCGATTCCCTCTCCCCCAAGAAGGAAGGAAACTCTCGTTCCCGGTTCCCGAGCCCCGTCCTTACCTTTAGCAGCGGAATCCTCCTGTAGAGTCCTAGACCTCCACCTTTCGCGGGCATCTTTCGTTACGGAGTTTCAAATGTCGGTTCGACCATACGTGAAACTCTTGAGCTTCCTCGGCAAATTCTTCTCGCTTTTCTTGACGAGGCTTTGAGGCCATCTGAAGAGAAAAGCGGCCAACTATTGACAGTATCTTTCACATTCTTTAAGTACCGAGATGGATGTCGAATTCCGGGGCTGCCCGCCCGGTCTTATGAGGAGGGGCGCTGGAATTATTATTATTATCATTATCTGTGCATGGTCTTTGCACGGGCAGGACAGAAATGCTCTCAGAGAGATCTAGCGACTCGCCAATTGAACAAACCATGCGCTGGACAGAATCGCGAAGATTTTATTAAATGCTCCATCTGATAAACGGAAGAATCCGAGGTATATTCTTATCCGTCTTGGGAATTCCGAAGATTCTCTGTTTCGCGGAAGATGGCGCTCTCTCGTGGAGGTCAATGGCTCTCTTGACCTCCACTGGCCTCCACTCCAGTTCACTACGTCGCCCCTGAAATGGGAGCACGTTCAACGCCGCCTACGGATTGGACGCATCGTAGCTACAGAATGATGATCCGTCCGTTGGATGATGGATGCGCACGTCTACGTGCTACTCTACTCTAGCCGAGGCATTCCGATTTACTACGATCTCCACAAGTTACGACTCACGAGCGGATGTGTCAGGGTACAGGAGCGTCCAGATCGACGACTGAGAACTGCCCCTCACCCTCTAGAGACTCATCTCACGGTGCCCGCTGCGCAGTATACAAGTGTCTGTGTGTCTGCGTGTGTGTGTGTAATCTTCTTCGTCTGACATACTGAAAGCGCCCTCGCAAGCTCATCCCATTACCTCCTCACTCTGCGGTCGATATCTCCCGAAGTACGAATTACCGTAAATCGCAGATAAAGCTCGATAAACCTCACGGCGACTTTAACATAGTAGGATATTGATATCTTGTCTCCACGTAATTCCACTCCCGTGGAGCACAGATACCGCGCCTTTCTGCACTTGTCCCTCCCCTCCTCCTCGTCCGATGCTCGGAATTCCAGACCATGCGTCGACGGTTTTCTCTTTTCGCGTCACCAGGCAGGCAGGCAGGCAGGCAGGCAACCCAGATCAGAACTTTTCATCCTTTCGCTTGCGAGATTTCTGACCGAAAATGTCAGCCGGGATCTAACGTCTCCATACGGAAAGAATCGATACAGGGCAGCGGTCGCCCTCTGCTCCTGCTTCCCCTGTTCCCACAAAAGGCGCGGTGGGAAGCTTGAACAGAAGCACGTGATTCCAGACCAGCAATGTGGTTCCCATATTGCGCACATCGTAAATGAAATGAAATATGTCCAGATGGATGCCAAGGGGGCAACCGGGCGAAAAAAGAAAAGTTGGCGGACGGTTGTCATTTGGTTTATGAACCTACGTCTTGCGAGAGGGCAGCCTTGCATAGCCTCCTATTCCTAACAATTCCTCACCTGCTCAGCATTTAATCGATCAGTTTCTGCTCACACCGCGCTGTATACGCAAAGCATAAGAAAACTTACGCTTTCCGTGATAACCGCGGTAACACGTTAACGATGATCTATGTGAACTACTACTACTACTTCTCATCCTAATTAACTTTCTATGTTTTGTCAGCAACATACCCCGAGAGACCGTAAGTTTCTGTATGACGCAACTAAGTTGTGATTGCTTTTTATTCTTCTTTCACCCTCATACTTGTCGCTCTATACATTTTCTCTACTAGAACATGAATTAGAAAGACATAAAAAAATATAGATGACTATTCAGAGCAAGACGTGTGTGTTGTACACATGGGCTCGCTCTCACCATTTTTCGCCTTCTGGGCTCGTTAACAGATCATCGTACATTTGCTGAAGAATTTGGAAGGCATTCTCGCTGTTCTTTGTCAAACTCTGAATGCATACTCTCGGAGTGAGACAAGCAGCTGCAAGTACAGTGCAGTACCCGTTCTGTCCACATCAGTTCCCTTCAGACCATTTCTGAACTTCATTTGATGTAGAATGTGTGAGAGTCATGGCGCATGAGGGCAATCCTTATGACATAGTCAGATCCTTAATCTACTGGGACCGTATCCTCCTTGCAGAAATGCGTACTTTGGCACAGTTTACCAGAAGATTGTGTCTGAACAGCAGAATGCCCACGCAAGGGTTGTAAGTGAAATGCAATTCAGAGGATCTGTGACTACCTTACTTCGACACCCAGTTCACTGAAATATACACAATCCCAACCCCTAGATGCTTTGCTCGTTATGCACCTTTTGGACCAGTCCTTAACTTAATCTTTTGGCTTCCAGCCTCGTGTGCCCCCGGTATATCACTGTTGAGTAAGGTACAGTGTAGTACTGCAGGTTTACACCCTGGACACAGCATGCAATGATTACAGAGACTGACTGGTGGCTGTGGTGGATCATGAGACGCAATCAGAGCGACTGTTCGGTGTTGTCCTAGTTCAATCACTCCAACCTTTTGCTTTGTCTTCACATCACCTCCCTCAAGCTCCGTCTACTTTTTTCAGCAATCATGTTCTCCCGCTGCGTAGAATTCGTCCATGCGTCTCGTTCAAGGGAGGTGAAATGATTACAATCCCCCCAAACCGTTCATATATTTCTACGACGCAAATTACGACTAATTTAACCCAATTTACCTTACCTTGTAATTTCTTGGCTTATGTGACCAGTTCTTTTCTTTTCACCTATGAAATCCAGCTCCCAGTTAACTTATCCATCCTCATTCCTGAGTGTTAAGGGGACTTAATTTGAATGAACAGTCATTATTACCTTAGTCTATATACCATATTTTGCCATGTCTTTTTATCTTTCTACATAGGGAAATACAAAGGATAATTCTGTAAAAGAGATGCTTTTCTATGCTCCTTTTGTCCTTAGAGTATTTGACTCAACTGTTTGAACGCCCTAATATTCACCATGACATATACTACATTTTGATGTTATTATCACATTATCCATGTTATCGATTTGATTTAAATAGTGTATTGCTTGATTCTTACAATAAAATACTCCAGCTTAATAACTGCGATTCCTCTCCAACTTATACTAGATTTTTAGTTTCTTCCAGTGATTTTCATGTTTAAGTTTGATGTAATGTTGTCTGAAGCCTATGAAATTGTGTCCATGGCTCACCCATCTATCCATTGAAACTCTACATAATGATATAGTTAAAATATTGATGTGAAATCACTGTATTCAAAAATTGAATTATCTTGCAAGTCAATTTGTGTATATTTTAAAAATATAGTCTTATTACTATTGTTTTTTAAAATAAATGATAAAAAATGTTTGAATTATTATTTCATTTTATTTGATCTAATTTTCATAATAGATTCTCAATTTAGAAAATAGAAGTTGAAATAAATTTTATTTAAAAATTTATTACCAAGTGAATATATTAGATGAATAAATATTTTTGTTCATATAAATTTAATTCTTCAAATGTATCTAACAATGTTCATAAGAAGTTCCGCATGCGTAGATTGAACAATTTTTCGTGTTTTACTTACAGGAATTTTTTCAAAAATCTTCTGAGTTCCAGATAAGAATCAATTTGCAAAAATATTTGAAAAAATAAAAATATGGAATCAAAACGTCAATGTGAAATTCTTAAAATATGAAATCTAAAAAAATAATCAAAATCTATAATATAAAAAAATCAACACGATGTAAACATCATACGTGTAATCTCTGATCTTGTTTATTGCTTGATTCGTTTCACCAATGGAGACTTACAGCGAACGTGGTAACAACAAAAATATAATTTGTCGCGGTACAGAAAGCTTTCATGGGCTTTGCTTACCATACCGTAGATATTATTCTATGCCCTGAAAAGGCTTTTGCAATGAAGACTGTCTGACAGCGTTACACTTTTTGACGTAGTAAGCCTCGTTTGAAGGCTACAAAATGGACAGTCAGCGTGGACGGATTCAAGTTTGTTAGGGACAGGCCATAAGCATCTAGGTTGTGGCATCACGTTTGCTACACTTAAAAAATAGCTGATATTATTCCCATTACATTTCAAATTTCCTGGATATAAATATTCCATTTTTTGTCATCAAGATTTTACATCATAAAAACCATTTTAGAATACACTAGATTTCAACAGTATTTAAAATACCTTAACTCAAAACATAAATTTTATTACTTGCAATATAAAGTATCATTCCATAAGTAAGTCTTAAATATGTTTAATTGTAGACTGTTTGTAATACTATGGTATTTTCCAATCATACTCTAATTCTCAAACCAAAACCCTGTATTATGAAAAATCATTCAAGCTGATTGGAAGATAAAGTTCTTTGTGTTAATTATTTTTATATAGAATATTTGATTTCATAAGCTAATTAATTTCCTTGAAAATTTTGAGGTTTTTTTAATTTTTCTGATTTGTTTTTTTATATATTTTTAGAATAATTTCTTTTGAGATATTTATTTTCCAAAAAAAATTTAATTCAATTAAAAAATTCCTCATATTCCTATTTATATTGTAGTCAGATCATATACTTATGAGATAATTTAACATGAAACCTATTGACATGTTTTTAATCTTCAAATTTTTTATAAATCATATTTTAACAAAAAAGAAAATTTTGATAATTAAAATCTGAATTTTCGAAAAGATATCTATAAATTATAAGAATCAATTTTCACAAGTGACATCAAATTTCACATTCCTTTCACAAAGAGTGTAATAATCAACAGTGTAATGTCAATTAGAACATATATTTTTGGAGGTAACCTTGAATTAAATTTTATATAATGTTAAGTTAATATTCATGACCATCATGTCAGTATAATTGCGTCTGCGAATAATCAATCCGGTAGATAAGAAAAATTTATAGTACTCATGAAGTTGTACAAGAAAAAAAAAGGTTAACTCATGGAGTAGACACAAATCTTATTCCAATGAGAAATATTTCTAAAACGTTTCGTGTTCAAAAGATCAAGAGTAAACGTTGTACCAATCACTACACCTGAATCACTTTATGTGATCGTTTTACTTGATGCATTATCTGGTGTTCCATGTAGATAAAATCAAAATGTATAGCTTCAAAACTACTATTTAATAAGCTAAGTAAGCTCAATATACTGAAACAAACAAGCT